AAAAATAATTTAGAAATGAAAGGGTATTCTGAAATCACCAGGTAATGCTGCAGGTGATACAGAAGCTGTGCTTCAAGTGCCATTCAAGTGCCTCTTAAAGGGCTGCAGAAGTACTCAAAAAGTGTGGGAACGATTCTGGGAAGTTTTAAAAAGTGATCATTGCAGATTCAACAAGTGCATAGGCTGAGCAGTGCTGAGCTGGACCAAACACTCCACGGCTCGCTCAGCATTTCTGCCTCTTTCACCTTCACACATGGCAGGAGCCCGTGTGTCATGGTGGGTGGGATGGGGTGGGATGGGATGGTGGGGGCTCCTTCGAGATCTTAAAGACAAGCTGGGACAAAGGCGCACTGAAGGGCCTTCTGGTCCCTCCTGCAAAAATGCCAGCCTGGACATTTCAGTGTCCATCCAACTAGTGCAAGGCTGTGTGCGTGTGTTGGCCCACATGTGTTTTCTTCGTTTGAATTCTCTCTCTTGCTACTGCACTCATAGAAGTGTGTGGGCCAACAGCACGGCAGTGGGGCGAGGAGCCCGCTTGCCGGTTGGCCCTTCAGCCCTGCTCGGCACACTTAGCTTGCGCTTTAGCAGAGGCCTGCTTTTGGTGCTGCGCAGTCTCTGTTTCAGGCGCAGAGCAGCTATGAAGAAACCTCAGCCTCTCTTTGGGCTGCAGGCACAGAACTTCAGGGGACTCTGACGTGTGTCTGCGTGTCTGTGGGGATTTGCCGATGTTAATCAGGAGCTAGCCATGGAGCGATTAATACTTCGGTGGTGAATGGGTGTGTGAAGGAGGGAGAGTCCACAGGTAGTGAAATGGGAGTTCGTTCCAGCGGGGCTGGGTGACTGGTGGCCCTCCAGATGTTCTGGCCCACAACCTCTGTCAGACCTCCTCAGCACAGCCAGTTGTGAGAGATGAAGGGAGTTGCAGGCCATACAGCAGAAGGGATGCAGAAAACACTCCCCAATAGATGGCCTGTTTCCATTAAATGGCAAATACAGGCCAAAGTAATCTGCTGTTCTATCTTGAAGAGTCCTAAGAAAGGTTACCTGCAATACTCAAAAGTGCAAATCCCACAGCCAAAGAAAACCCAAACAGGTGAAACCAGCACATGGGAACAGTTCTTCCCAGACCATCATTTCAAGCAGAATGCGAAGGACATGGAAAACAAGCTTCTCACAAAGAAGGGTTTTAGGAAGCGCTAGTTTTCCGTGCACATGAGCATTCAGACATGCAGTCTCCCCACCTGGCTGCGCTACACACTTTCTCCACACATCTCAGCAGGCTCTGGTAGAGGCCTTGTAAGGCCAGGCCATACCGGGCATTGTCACAGCCTGCACCTTTCTCTTTCCCTTCCTTCTGCTTTCAACACTGTGTTCCCACCGCACAACACACCGTGCTTGGACCGGAGGAAAATACCTGCCAGCCTAGGATAACATGCCCTCCATCTGATGCAGTCAGCTGCAGTCTGCATGCCTTGATTTTATTGTTCAGTCTCTTAATGTGCCACAGCAGACTGAAACAGCCATGCTTCAGGAACCCTTCCGTGCAGCTCCATACAAAGCCAGACAGAAGGAAAATGGAACGCTATTTTAACAAAGCCTTGGGAGGGGGCTGGAGTCGCAACCAAAACTCCAGTCTGTGCGATGGGCCAAGGTGTTCCACACCAGACACAACAAGATTAGGCGAGGGAAAAGTTGTCTGCCCCAAGCCAAACACGCTCCTTGTCTAACAACATGGAGCAGGGGGGTGAAAGGATTAGCAGCAGTCTGGCACCCTCCCTCTGGTCCATTTCTTTTCTTCTCCCCCAGACTCAGATGGCAATGTGGAATGCGAAAGACCCTTAAGCCCCAGCGGGAAGGCTGCTCCATTGTTAGGCCTGGGGGGAGCACTGGCTGGAAGTTGCCCGGTCCAGGCAAGAAAGGGAAGGGTTTCTTCGTTCCCAGTTTCCCAGCTTACTTTCCGGAGGCCCCTCAGGGCTGCACCAAGGTGGCATGAACAACCTGGCACCACAGCGGGTGTGAGGCAGCTGGGGCCCTTGGGGGCCCCAGGAAGCCCTTCACGCTCACACCCCAGCCCCCACGTCTCTGGCTTTTGTGGCTGTATGTTTGGCAGCAGGGAGGTACAAGCTGTGGGTTCTTCAGCTAATGCCCCTAAAGTGGGGGAGAGCTGAAAAGGAGCTTGGGGTGCTTCCAAGCAGAAACCATAAAGGGTGGCCAGCCCGAGCGTGCCGGTGGAGGGGGCCAGCTGCCCCTTCAGGGGGCTTGAAGCAGGGAGTGGAGGAAGAGATGCTCCGGGAACCATATTCACATCTCTGCCAAGCCCACGCCAAAAGTGGAGTGTTGCAAAGACCTCAGTTCTCACCCACCCCTTGCTTCCTAACAAACCCGTGCAGGGATCACCTGACTGACCATTAGTCAGGGCTGTTAGCCTTCCTGAGATCTAGCACCGTGGCATCTTTACTTGAAACAAAAGTTTGCTTTTCACGTGTCGTGAGGATGAAAGGCTTTTGAATAAACTGACCACCTTGACCCTGGCTGCATCATACATTGCTTATTATGTGTAGCCCTTGTGCAGGGAATGTTTTCCTGACCCTCCCAAGAGCCACCAATGATGTAAGGAAGGGGTGGGGAATTTATTATGTAGTGGTCCCAAATTATGACCTGCAAGGGGCTAAAATTATAGGGATGGAGTGGTGGGAAACTCATCAAGATGTTAATCTCTGTCATGAGCATGACATAAATCATGGATTTCTGCTTTAAGTACAAATGCCATGGTGCTAGCCCTCATGAAGATTAATGGCCCTGGCTGTAGACAACATCAGTTAAACTCCAGCAGCAACAGCGATGGCTTGAATGACAGCATCTAAAACCATCAAGCAGTTTTGTTTCAGGGATCCAGCACACGCTGCTTTCGGTCCAAGACCGCATTCTTCCAGTGTCACCTGCCACTGAGAGCAAGGAAAGGGTTGCTGTATCCTGCTGGCTTCGAAAAACAAACAGTGGTGGTTGGATGACTGAGATAAGCTAAATCTGTTATGGCCTCAGGCAGCTACCTTGGGAGATAACAAATACCCATTAAATTACCCCGACTATTCTGCATTCTCTCTCTCTCTCTCTCTCACACACACACACACACACCAAGCTCTTGCTAATTTATTTTCCATAGGAAAAAATGGCGTGAAATGCCAGAATGCTTGCTGGGCATTGTAGTCTCTGGAACAAGGAGCAGCCCTCTCTCCGTGGCCCCAGCCAAGCACTCCAGCAGCAGTTCTCACGGCTGGCCTCCACCAACCTCCTCTCATCGCGAGTGGACCACCAGCTTTCTTCCCCAGCCAGCATGGCCACAGCTGTGATGAGCAGCCAGGCCAAGAGCTACCCAGCACCGGGTGCAAAACACGGACAGCTCAAGCCTCTCCTTGGCGATGCTTCCTCCGCGGTCCTTTTTCCTCGGCTCTGCAGCAGGATGAGTAAGGGCCCCGCAGCCAAGCCTCAACCCTGCGCACACTCCGCGTGTTTGGGAGCAGTGCTTCCCCAGCACTTGGCACCCTGAGCATTCTCTGGCTTGCTGCAGCAATCACACTGACGAGACTTGTGGACAAGGCTTTTGTGCCACTCTCTCACTCGCCCAGGTGCAATTCTGGGGCAAGGAGGTGTCCAGAAGTCTTCAGTCTTCTACTAGCGCCCTCCTCAGGGATCATATTCCATCTTTTTCCTGAGCAGAGAAAATCCGTTCAGGAGGAAAAGATGGAGTGGCTGCACAGTGCGGTAGAATCTGAAAGCGCCTTCAAGTGTAACGGGGGTGCAGAGCCCGCTGGTTCTGGTCCGGCAGCTCAAGCATTCTGCAGGTGAGCCATGTCACATGTGAAGCTTGGCTCTAGGGGCTATCAAAGACTGGAGGCCATCCCGGTGTATTTGCTTTGGTTAAAGCAGTTCCGGGACCCTACTTGACTTGGGCCTTCCCCCCAGGTTCAGTCACACACACAAGTCTACCATTGGCTACAGACACCTTCAACAAAACAGTTTCCCCACTCCCTGCCCAATAGCAGGGGAAGAGGCCGTTTCCATCAAGGAATGGCTCAGGCAGAAGCAAGCACTCCTGCCCCGGTTCAGATGTCCCATGATCTCCCATGCCAGGATTAGTTGTCTCCAAAGAGAGGTTTCAGCTGCTAATTCCCACATCCAGTGCTCCTCCCAGTGTGGCAGCAGAGGTCAACAATGTGGCTCGGACGGGTCATGAGGCCTCCCCTCTCTCCAGGACCGGCATGGCAGATCCTCAGGCACAGGTGCATGAGCAGGAGGGAGCGATGTGCTCATGCCCTGCATGTCTGCCTTGTCCTGCCACTGAGCCTGGAACCAGATCCACATGATGCTCTCCATGAGAACTGAGTAGAGTCTCTGCTGCTAATAGTTCTATAGCACTGACAGAGTTCTATGCCTGCTAAAATTCTGCCTACTCACATGCTGCACTGGAACGACTGTGCCTGGTTTCTAGGAAAGTACACATCAGCAAAACCTGACCTTGCCAAAGTTCTCCATATTCCATCTTGAAGTTCGTTCTGTCCATACCAGATTGCAAGTTTGCTGGGATTTTTAATTTTTGTTTCAAGCTGTTTGCTTATTTTTGTGTATATCTTTCCAAATGTACACATCAGCTGTGCATTTCCTTGAAGTGGATGCATTTTCTCCTGTTTAAAGCATATTTGTGTGATTTTTTCCCCAAAATTACACATGTTGATACACATTTTCAAAATGTATGTATGCTGTTGCATACCTTTTTCTAAATTCCACCACAAAATCAGAAATGAAAGGACTTTCACCCCAGACTGTACTCTGGCCCATGTTCAGGTAGATCCTGATAAAAACCAATCTAAAATGGATTTTCCAAACTTTCCTACAATTTTCCAGCACAGAAGCTACCACTTTAGCCGCACAGATTTTGAGTCAGGGCAACGAATGAAGAAAAATAAAAGCACAAAGTGCAAAGCGGACGGGCTGCCACTTACCCTCGTTTGCACTTTTTGTAGACTTTATAGATGCTTTCTTCGGGCAAACCGTATTTTTCTGAAATCTGGAAAGGAAACAGAAGTTCTACCGATTAAATATAAATCACGTATATTCACAAAGAAGCCAGTGAAACTATATGAACTGGACAATGCTTTAACGGTATCAGAGAATGCTGAAGCCACGCTGGAAGTACTGAACCTGTGTGAGGCTTCCCTAAATAGGGAAAGCCAACCAAACAAACAAACAACTTCCTAATAAGGGAGCTTCACTGTGGAATAAATTGCCTAAAGAGGTTGCCAAATCATCTTCTTTAAAAGCTGCCTGGGCACCCACTGTACAAGCCCCGACGCAGGAGAGTGATTAATTGCGGCTTCTTCGATCATCCATACAGGTGTGTGACCACACGTGGAAGGGCTGGTGTGAACAGAGCGACACAAACAACGCGTGAGCCAACCGCCAGCTCCATGCGCCTGTGGCAAGCTTGCGCACACTTCTGCAGGAAGGGATCGCCCGTGTTCAGCCTGAGCACTTGCAAGTTCCTCATCGCTCGCAAGATCAGGGGAGAGGTGCGGGAAATGCGCCTTGATGGCAGAGGACGTGCCTTGCATGCACACGATCCTAACTGCAGTCCCTGACCCCCATCCCCCAGCGACAGCAGCACCCAGGCAGTTAGATGGGGTTATGGAATGGTGCATACAGAAGAGAGGCTAGTTCCTCGTCCCCTTCGTCAGAAAGGTGGTGAAGGGAAACGGAGTGAGGGGGACACCGGCACTGAGCAGGTCTGCATCCCCCTGCCTAAAATGCTTCGCAATACCTGTTCTGCTAATCCTCACACCAACCCTGCGGATAAATCCACACTGCTACTTTCGTGGCATGGAGGCTCCGATCTGGCCAAGGCTGCAGGGCGATGCGCTCTGTGAAGGGTGCAGGAAGAGCCACGCGGGGGCAGACCAAGCATGGGCCCCGTGGCAGCTCAGGATCAGCACAGCACCCACTCACGCCCCCAGCCGCCGGCACCCTGCCTCTGGCACAGGGGGCACGCAGTCCTCCAGACCAGAGCCCCCAGCAGCCACGTCCTCAAATGCGTCCCTTGTTACAGCTGTCCAAGTTGGCAGCCACCACAGTGTCTTGTGTAAGTCAGTCCCATAACGTGCTGGGTAACCAAGTACTTCCCTTTGTATGTCCCATCATTCGGCTGCAAGGGACAGCCCTGTGGGGTGTCTGTATTAGAAAAACTAATCTAATTTAAAAACTAATCTGCCTTCTTGCAGATGTGTTCCCAGCTGTCAGCACTCAAGTTGCCATCTTTGCCTTGCTCCCGTTTCAACTCAGAAAGTTTTAAGTTCTTGGTTGTACCACTGGACCTACTTGTTGTAACTGTTTATTTACAACTTTTATTATTTTATAATCTTACTATCTCATTGTTTTATCATTACTATCTTATGGCATTTCATGGCACTGCTATGCTATGCTATGATGCTATGACCTCTGATTACAACAATAAACTTACTGATTGATGAACTGATTGATAGATTTATGGTGGGGGGGATGTCTCCCAGTACACGTTTTCCACACTGTGACACCTCTGTCGTGTCTCCCCTTCGTTTGCCATCAAGCTGTCTCCAGTAAGGGAGGTTCCTCCAAAATCTCCTGTCCTTGACAAGCCCGCTTAGCCCTTGGACACGTGAGGCTGTGGGGTCCCTTGTCAAACGGATCCACCCCATAGCTGGCCTTGCCCCTCTTCTTCTGCCTTCTGCTTTCCCAGCACCGCCTCCTCCAGCGAGTCTCGCCTTCTTACCCTTTTGCTAAGCTACCAAGGCCTAGTCACCGTTCTCCTCACAAGGGAGCTGCCCCAGCCCCTTGGCCGTTTCAGCCGACCTTGCCTTCACTTTCCCCACTATTAGTAATACAAATATTTGGCGTTGTCGTTGCTGGCAAAGAGAAGCCGATTCAGGGAGTCCCCCGTCCACATCTCATTCCAGCAGTGACCTCCGCAGGTCCAGCGGCGAGCCTCAGCCTGTTGTTCTTAGCCCTTCCCAGTACGACGTGGAGAAACACTAAGCTGCCTTACGAGGAGCACGGAATCGACTGTATGAGGCGCCATTTGCACGCTCAAAGTGCTGCACGGGGCAGGAGGGTTATCTAGTGGGACTTGCACGCTGGACTCCGAGCGACGGCACCCCTTTGCTCCGAAGGCAGCCTCACTGAGCTGCTTTCCGGGCACCACGTGGGGGGCAGGCCAATTGGGGCGGTCTGTGGTCCAGTTTCCGCCCCCACCCCGAAGCGCACTAGTTGCTGCACACCTGCTCCACACTGAAACCCCACCAGCAAAATATTTGATGCTTTGCTGCTCAAATGTGGCGGCAAACTGTAACTCAGACTCAGAACATCCTCACTGAGCTCGAAAACAAGGCTAAAGTTGGCACATTGCAGCATTTTGCTGCGAAATTTTGGTTTGGGGGCCACCGGGTGGCTGCAGGGCCCTGCCAGAGGCTGTGCCCCCCCCCCACATCTTCCTTCCCATCCCTCCTGCAACTGCTCTTCTTGTGCAGAGGACTGGAGGAAAGGCGATTTTGCCCACCGGCGTTTGTTCTCCAGAGCTGTTTGCTCTTTTCCCATTTGAACATGTGCAAAGGCAACACACACACACACACACACACACACACACAGAGCACAGCCATAGAAATGACTATCAGATCTTTTCAGGAGATTGTTTGCTCTATTCCCCACCTCTGCAAAGAAGAGTTGGGGTTATCAGTAATTGTGCTGATACGCATCACAGAAATATGCTTAGACATTGTGTGCTCTTCAAACATTGAGAAAGGGGTGTGTCTGTGTGTGCACGTGTGGGGTGGCGGGGGTGGGGGGGCAGGATTTTCCAGCCAGCCCAAGGGAAAGGAGGTGAGACGTGGAGATACAGGCCTGGGAACCTGATTAAAGAAGGGGCCTTTGATGGTGGGAAATATGAAAGCCATCAGCATTAAAATCACACACACACACACACACACACACACCCCAGCTAGATTCAAAAGGCAGCTGCAACTTGCTATAGTGGCATCTCGAATGTACAGTTTATCTACATTTGTGCAAGAGGGTGAGTGCAGGAGTCATAATTCACAGCCCTTCTAATGATATTATAATTAATCATTATAGTCTAATGCATTTCTGTGCAAGGGCCATAGGCACCAGGGCTGGTCTCTTTCTGGACAACCAGCCTGCCCTTCTCCCATCCATCAACATGGCAAGCGCAGCTGCCCAGGCCTTAAGGGGCCTGCCTTTTCCCAGCAATCCTCGCCGGCGAGCCTTCCTAGCCCATCGTGGCCCGAGGGGTGAAGACCTCTGCCCCCGCTGCCTGGGGCCCCCATCCCTCAGAAGCCACCCTGCGGCCTTGGGCTGGCTGGCACCGGGCGTAGCTGTTGGCACATCCGACAGACTGCTAGCCGGCTCACTTTTGGGAGTCAGCCGAGCCGTGTGGAAGCAAACGACACAGGGGCCAAGCCCCGTCCCGCAGCAGCCAGGGTTCTCCAGGTGGCCACGCGCCCTTCCCTTGGCTCCACGCCACAGCCCGGTTTCCCTGCACCCCTGCTGCCTTTGGCCCCACTCCCTTCGGGCTCCGCCGTCCCCCTCCTTGCAGACGGAGCGCTTGACTGAAATGGAGTTTGGTGTGTGGGCACGAGGGGTCCTGCTTCGCGGGGCTGGAGGGGCTGCATTCCTGCCAACTGCCCGGCAGCCCGGGGTCTCTTCCGCCTCTTCTGCCAAACGGAGCCCTGGGGTAAAGCGGGCCGTGCAGTGACGGCGTACGTGCACGGAGGCATACAAACGCAGGCGCGGGGCGTGCCTGGGCCTGTTGGGCCTCTGTTGTATGCAGAGTTGCGTTTTTCAATAAAAGGGAGATGCAGCGTTAATACGCGGTTTCGTGCCACTTTAACACCATCCTTCCTGGCTTTTGTTGTGAGTGAAACTCGGGAGAAGACCTTGGCATGCGGCACAGCAATCCAGGATCCGATTCGGCTGCCCTGCGGGAGGGGAGCAGCCTGGGCCGGGCCGGGCCGGGCCGGGCCGGGCCGGGCCCGCTCCGAGAGCAGACCATACCTGCCCTAGAAGCACTGGCCGCTGCCTCACTAGGTAGCGCAGCACATGCTCTGACGCAGCAGAAGAACCGGGAGGAAACCCACCGCATTCCTCAGGCCTTTGAGGTCCGGCGTCTTCAGCATGAGCGCATCGAAAACCTCCTCTGATTCTCTTCGCACATAGAGCAAGACTGAAAGGTAGAGAAGAAGTTTCATGCCCGGGTTCAGCCCCTGCACTTGGGTCAGATCCAGCGGCCAGCATTAAAATGCACCCCCTCCCCCCAGGAAGCGCTCCCTGCAGCACCGCACGCCCCAGCAGGGCTTTGGCAGGGCACTCGTATGGGCCCCTCTCTCCCTGCATGCACCTCCTCCTCCCCTTTAGGAGGAGCCTAGAAGGCCACTGGCCCATCCATCCACCTGCTCGGTGGAGGACTCGCCTCCCAGCCAAATACTAACCTGCCCTGCCCCCGCTTAGCCTCCCTTGACACCAGCCCTGGCCAGTCGCTTCTCCTTGACCCCACCGTCTTTCTCAGCAGCTTCTGGATGCGGTCCCCCAAGCCCAGGGCTAGTTCCAGTCCTTCCCTCGAGTCCCTTTTCTAATGCATTCCTGCTGCTTATTCCCACATGCATCTCAAGGGTTCTCTCGTCTGTCTGCTTGCCTCCATTGAGGCTGCTGGCTTCCTTACCTTGTCCCTTGGCTCTTTTTTGCACAAGGGTATGGAGAGGGCAGAATTCCCACAGTAGGCTTACCTCTTTGAGGGTCTTCTCTTTTCGCTTGTTTTGATACTAAAGAATCAAATTCATCTGGGAATGAAGGGCAGCTCCGCTTTAAAGGCAGCCTAGGTGAGGAAAAGGAGAGATCAGAAGATTCCATGGCAGGTACCACTCCATGGATATTCCCAAACGACTCAAATGTATGGCTGTTGTGCTCTTTTTAAAGCAATACACCAATGTTCATACATTTCAATAGGACCATTGCCAAAACATGTTTGGGTGGATTGTGCGCAGAGGTGCAGCTCATCAGCTTCCATCTTGGCACCCCAAGCCCAGTGTCTTTCTTGCCACATAGCACAGTGCTGAGGATTCCCTCGGAGGAATCCCCAGTGATTCCCTGACCTGACATGATGGTGACGATCTTTCAGTTTGAGACTGAAGTGCCATATCTTGGAGAAGTTCTTAGAGGCCACATTGTGTGGTGGGTGGGACAGAAGGATGGGCCAAAAATGCAGCATATATTATCCTGCTAAGCCTTGGAAGTGACCGTCCAACCCTCAGAATGGGGAAACCATGGTGCAAAAGCTGGGAAGCCATCCAGCGATTCACTGTCAAGGAAATGCAGGTCTGGCCAGAGAAAGGGGACACGGTGGTTTGGAAAACCCATGAAGAAGATTAAATTGGACTGGGACCCCAATTTGGCCCCAAGTCTTAACTGGCAGGCCGCCTTATCCGTCATGGCTGAGTTGATGCTATATCCTTACTCTTAGTCTGACCAGAAACCAGTCACACGGTAGAGCCCTTATCTCTCTCCAAGGAATTTTACCACGATTGGACACACATCAGAAAAAGCCCCACCACTTGCATTTGGTCATGTATATTTTGCCTTTCTTTACTGTAGAACTCACTGCCATCTACGGCAGCGTCACAGGCTGAACACAGCTGATGCCTCGCTGTAATCCAGCACGTCTGAACCTGGTCGGTGCCGGGACCACAGACCTGCACGGGATGCTCTGAGCTTCCCAGAGGGAAGGCAGCAAAATAGCTGCTTCTTCTTCAAAGGGTGCCATCCAATGACACTTGGACAAAAAAAGTACTCAACCCTCAGCACATCCCAGTTGCTAAACACGGGTAGAGCTTCGCCTGAGGTTTCTGGGAATATTTTGAGCAAGTGAGCAACAGAAAGCGTTTGTCCTCCCACCCGCATACCTGCTCGGGTCCTGTGGAGCGCCAGCAGTGGGTAATACCTGTTGGAGAAGAGACAAGATGGACACACTTTAGAGGAAGTCGGTCCTCTGGCTTGGAAAAGGGTTCCAATTCTGGAACCAAACCACTGGCCCCTGAGGAGCAGCCCCGCCTGTTTTGGACCCAGACAAAGGCTCCACGCAGCACCAATTCGCTCCTTGGCCCAGCCCACTTAGCAGCTGCTTTTCCAATGGGAAAGCCTCCAGCTGCTTTGTAGGGTGACTCCCAGAACTCTCAGGCAAGGCTGCTGTGAGCAGTTAAGGGACATCTTTAGTAGGTTCATGTGTCAAAGGTGAAAATGCTTTTGCTAAAACCACACGGTGAGGCTGAGTGACATTGCTATAATTACAAAGTTTAAAACAACCACACAAAAATTAAGCAGCCCTGTGATAAGCATAGCCTGCAATTACTCTTGGGCGTACCCAAATATGGCTCTCTCTGAATCCGGTCCCTCCCCAACAGAAATCTGAAATGGCGTCGCTGCGGCATCATATTCTTCGCAGTTCGATCCACCTGTTCGCAGTGCCATGCCCCTCACAAACGGGTTCCACTTGCACTTTGAAATTCTGCCTCAACACCCAGCTTCTTGCCCCCTGGGAGCCACCATCAGGAGATGCCTTACTGGATGTAGATCCAGATTCATTCCTATTTAACACTCATGGCTTTGCCCAAAGAAGGCTGAATTTTAGCGTGAGGGTGCTACAAATCCTCCCAGAGATTCCTAGCATGATCCCAGACCAAGGAGAAGGCAAATCAATATTGAAACCTGTGGAGTTGAAGTACCTTTAGCTTAGTCACATTCTTATATCTGGTTGCTTATGTCTTGCTTTGATGCATTTCTTCTTGAGCCGCACAAAACTCAACATGTGGTTTTTGAAACAGAAAGCCTCTCTCATCCCTCCACTTCTGTCAACATCCCTCCCCTTGCCATTGAAATGTTCCTTCAGGATAGATCCGGATGACTACCCGAGCCCGCACAACCTCAGATCTACCGTTGGGGGCACTGGAGCAATTGCATGGGGCCCTGAGTATCCACTGGTGCCAAAGAACGGAAGGCATGTGCACATATGAAATCAGGAGGGTGGGTACTCGGAGGAAGGCTTTCTCTGCGGTGGCGCCCAATCTATGGAACGCGCTCCCCAGAGAGGTCCGCCTGGCGCCGTCGTTATTTGTTTTCCGGCGCCAGGCGAAGACCTTTTTATTTAAGCGTCATTTTAATTGTTAACAATATTTGTTTATTTATCTGGCCAGGGCGACTTCTTTTATATTGTTATTTATTTTAT